CTCTCTAAGTTTCTTCACTGTTCTGCCTACATCTCCATCAATCAACAATCTTCCTGTATTCATGATGCCTTAACTCTAAAGCCAATCCTTACATGGCATTGTGCCCAGATGGGCAGGTGGCAAGGGAATAATGTGTTAGTGTTTGTATTTGGTTGACTAGCTTCATTCTTTGTGGTTCAAGACAGAAACTCAGTAGATCCCACCCTCTAGTGTGTACTGACACATACTGAGATCCCTCAGGCAAGGATGAACTTCTCTAAAAGGGGCCAGTGAAGACTAAGTAAGCCCAGCCTTTTCCTGTAAATGTCAGGCTATGGATAACTCTCACACTCTATGTGACACACTCTTCAGAAGAGATATAGGTTATTCCATGGGATAAGATTTGGTCATATATATTATAAAACTGATTTGGCTCTGTCTTGCTGTAGAGCAGGTGAACATGTGGAAGTGAGTGTATGTGTATACATTTAATATTCACTCTACACTAAGGCTTTTAGATAGTAAGTCCTCAAATTTCTTAATATGTTTGGCCAAATGATATTTAGAAACATTTAATTGAAAGAACTGTAAGTATTCTGCAGTAGAAGGCATCTCATTAAATCTCTATCACAAGACCATGGCTACCCCAGTTGTTCTTTCATTGATTTGTACATGGGTGATTAATTTGCATTTTGTTGGGCAATTATTGTATAAATAACTCCAAGAATGGGAATGCAAATATTGATTCATAAAGTAAGCCTAATCATGGCACCTATTCAAACAAAATAGAATATTGTAATTGTTTTTGCTGGAATAATTCACTATATTTATAAGAGATCTCAAACAAGGAATACTTACAATTATTTACTTTTTGAATATAGTATGTGCATTTAGGAATACATGCTTATTTGAGAGTATATATAGATAGTGCCTTTGTGCCAAGACTTTTGTCACTGTGGTGGTGAAGGTTCTTGTTGATCACTTGGGAATGTATCTTCTGACCACTTGATTCTTGAGCTGCTGCTCTGCAGTCACTCTAAGGACAGGGTCACTGCTGAGGGCCTAGTATTTCCTCATCAAGAACATGACTATAATGGCTTTTAAATTGAAGCTAAAGAAATAAAATTCCCACTGCAGTGTTAGTTATAAGAGAGGTACTCAATCTGTTTTAGACATAGACACACTTGCTTATAAAATGTCTAACATGTTTGTTTCATCCTCACAATTATACAATTAGGGAAGGCAGAACATCAAAGAAAACTGCCATGCACATCTCAAAAGCAAAGCTGAATCAATGGCTAGCAATCAAGAATGGCATGCCTGGCATTCAGTTCTAATTTTGAATACAGCATTTTTTTTTACCATGTTGCCAACTGAAGCTGAGATAGTTGAAGGAGCATTATATTGAAAACTATTATGTATGAAAGCAAATAATTGGGCCCAAATAAAAGAACTTTAGTGACTATAAACCTAACACAACTACATTCTAATTCTGGAAAATAACTCATGGACACTCCTATACCCACAAACCCATTCTCATAATCCACGAAACCACAGGAATGCAATTTGATCCCCTCTCTAGGAGGGTGTGAAAATCTCAGCACTGTGTTTCTTAGTTGTTCAGTTTCCTCTACAGTTCTTGATAAACCAGCTCTTCTGCATTAAGCACTCACAATGTGTTCATGGTTTTCAAACATTTCTTTCCTTTTGGAAACTTTTCTTTGTAATTTTTCATCACTGACAGTTGAAACAAAGCAATGGCAATGACGAAATATCAACAGTGTATTATTTTCTGTGTTCCTACAATGAAACAAAGACAGGTGATACACAGACTTGAGCACACCTACTTTTGTCCGATGGAGAAACAGTCTTTATTGAGATTGTCCTTAACCTCTGTCATTTTTAAGTATACCTTTCAAAACATTAAATTCTCAAGCAATTTCATTCTTTGCATCTTTTAGTTCTTAGGTAAAACATTCTCATTCATTATTTCTTTGGTTGTATTCTGAATAAATGCTTTGATTCCAATTTCCTTAGAGTTCCTTAAAAAATAAATCTGCTAACCATTTAGACAACTTGTTTTATGTGTGTGTGGCTTCAAATAGCTTACAAGTCCCTGAAAATGGACATATGTAATCATTGTTATTTGCAACAAATGTAATATAAATACTATTGTATCATCTTCAAAACAGACAGACAAGAAAAATACTAAATCTTGAATTAAGTGAGGTAGAGAGGTATTACAGTTGACTTGAATCTCATGTTTTAGAGCAAAGTCAAATGCAGTGACCTTCTAAATAAGCAGCCTGACACTCTGTGCTGAACATATGTTTAAATAATTAATGACACTATTGATGGAAATCAGTGTTTTATTCATTTCTAGAAATTTTTAAAATTCTTTGTTATGAAAATCTTTGCTTATATCAAGGATAGTAGTAATACTGTTTTGAGACAGTACCAAGAATTTCATCATAAGACATTCCTAATTGTGGAAACAACAAAAAGTAATTTACATCTTTCCCAAGGTATTATTAGATTTAAAATGATAGCTTCAAAGTTATTTTAAAAACATTTTGCTTTTGAAAGTTTAGGAATTAGGTTTTGAAAATAGTAAGCACAGCATTTCTCCCTAAGAAGTTAGTATGAGACAGAAAAACAAGAATAAAATTTTCTCTGAATTCATTTTCAAATGATGTGAAATCTAAAAGTCTTGTTATAGATTTCTTGTTCTTCATAAGGTCACTGGCTTATCTCTCAGGATGTTTCCAATTATTAATGGAAAATATTTTAGGAAATATGTCTTGTGACACAATTCATGCACCCCAATACCAGCGAGGTGACTGGTCTCTGAGTAGAACATGCGGGGAAATGTAGGCAGTTTCATTCTGAAAGTACATACTGTCATCACTATATGGACAGCTACCTTGGGTGTCATGACTACCTAGGAAGGCTTTGGTGAGAAAGAAGTGGAATGTTTTCTAGTGTACAGAAGGTGGGTCTTTTGCCATTGTCTCATCAGGGTGTGTCTATAATCATCAGCACAGTCACATCTACATCACATACAAAGTCAAACAGAAAAATAGTTGTTGGTCACTGTCTTGGATATCTTAAGAAAATAATACCTGGAGTTGATGTGCTGTGTCCAAAAAGAATCACAAATGCTCATTAAGGAAATTCCGTTTATTGACACAGTATTGCTTTTATGAATTGTTCAGAGTTTTACGCAAAGAGGTTACTGTGCCTATATTTTACTCTTTTATATGCAGGAATAAACTCATTGAGCATGAAACTAACATTGCTTTAAGTCCAGCACAATAGAATACTGAACCATGAAGTATTTTTAAAATTACCCTCCAATTCAAGACATTAGATAAAAACAAACATAGAACAAAGCAAGAATATTCACCAAAAAAATCACACCTTATTTTTTTCAACACACATACATCCATTCATGTGTATTTCATTGATTTGTACTTTGAATGATGAAAATGAAGGTATCTGAGGATGAAATTGATTAGAAGGGTTCTTTGATCATTGATGTTTCTGAACTTCTTTTTGTGTTTTTAAAGATCCAAAAGAAACAAAGGTTTGAGATATGATCTAATTCCCCTTTTAAGAGTTTGGTCCTTCATGAAAGCCGATTAGTTGGCACTTTAATGAACAGAAAAAAGTGAGTGAATTACTTCTTATCTCACCTCTAAATTTTTCTTATAAGTTACACACCAAACATGGAAAATACATAGAGAAAACTAGGGTCATCCTTCGTAACTATGAGGAATTGATTCTAGGACTCCCTACAGATAACACTAGCCAAAAATCCTCAATTCCTGTATTTGTGTCTATCAAACAGGCACAAACTGCCTCTCCCTCCCCATTGTAGTAATTTAAGAAAGGCAGCACAATGCAACAGCATTTAAGAATAGTGTTTTATTATTATTATTAGGGAAAGAGATCATAAAAAGGGGAAAGGGAAGGGAGAAGAGGGAGACCAGCCTCTGAAGTCAGGAGCAGCAGGAGAGAAGAAAGAGGGGCAGAGAAAGGGAGAAAGAGGGCAGAGAAAGGGAGAGAGAGAGAGAGAGAGAGAGAGAGAGAGAGAGAGAGAGAAAGAAAGAGAGAGAGAGAGAGAGAGAGAGAGAGAGAGAGAGAGAGAGAGAGAGAGAGAGAGAGAGATGGGAGGTGGGCAGGGCCCTTTAAAAAGGGAGCAGGTTTGGATGGTGCTCTTAGTGGCAGCAGCTGAGGGCATAACCTGTTGGGGCCCCAGTGGCAGACAAGTGCAGATGCCTGAATACTAACCCCCAGCCCATATATCTTCTTGATTAGTTACAACAAATCATTGAACTTAAATGCTACATGAATCAGTGTTTTGTGACACATTTCTCAGGGAATAATAATAAGCAAAAATTTTCTACATGTTCAGTACACAGTTTTCTTTTACTGAATGTTTTTGATTCACAGTGGTGGAAACTATAGATACTGAAGCTTAATATACAGAGGGTCAACAGTCTGTGTGACAAAACAGGGATGAAAGGCCTGTCCTTATTAAAACAGAATGAAATCAAAACAAAAATATCATAAAAAATTACCAAAGATACTGCAAGAAGCAAATGTCAAGAAGTCAAGAAAGGCAACAGTTGGGGATTCTGGAACTGAGGTGTGTAACACTGGACTGGAAGAGCTACAGAGGAAGCCCCATGACTGTTTCCTCTGTGTCTAAACTGTCAAGGCAAGGCACTTCCTGTGTGGTTACTGTAGATATAATTATGCTATAAGACTCTGAGCTTCAGGAGCAGACAAATCTTAAAGCAGAAGCACTGTTTTCTTTGTTTGCTCTCAGCACACTAGAATTACAAAGCACATAAAATTAAAATGCAGCACTGAGCATTTAATAAGGGTTCTGTAATCAGACCAAGAATTGCACTTCAGAGGGAAAGTGAAGTTAGTGGCTCTGTTCCAACCTCAGAGTGATTGCAAATGTTCTAGGAAACAGGATGTCAGGGCCAGTCAAGGAGGGGATGGCCTGATTTTAATCAAGGAACTAGAGGTAAGTATTCCTTTGAAGGCCTGATACCAATCTTCAGATGAACCTTTTATTTAAAACACTCAAAAATTTAAAGGCATCATCTTACTAACAGCATATTCACTTTGATTATTTACATGCAAGTTATTATTCTTGAAAATTCCACATATGTGTGATGAGTACACACACACACACACACACACACACACTGTTCCATCTATTTTTGCTCATGAAAACTACAGCATTTTCACATCTACTATAAGTTCTGTTATCTGGTACAATATCTCAATAGTCTTTAGATTCTCACCAGGCTGACATGTTGATAATCTTCTTATGAAACATGTCACATTTCCCATTTCCTTGTGATGAGTCATGGAAGGATCCTGGGATGACAAGAGCATAATTTTAGACATAAGGAGTCTAAATTTTAAGAGTGTGTATTTTATTGCTGTTACTGGTTTGTCTTTTCATTTATCTGAAGTTGATAACTTAAATTTCAGGTTGCAAAGCAAACAACTTACTTTATTATGTGTGTTTACACATCACATATTATCATTCCACATTAAATCTCCTATCTACTTAAGCTTATCTCAAGGATTTAAAGTGATTCAGTCAATTAAGGAGATAATGCATGAGTGTTGTAATATTTACATTCTGATTATTAGTGATAATCAGGTATGATGTGCTAAATAAATGAAAATAGTAGAATAATAGATGGAAAATTCTAACAAATAATTTGTTCAGAATAAAACATCATAACAAATTTCAAGGCATAAGATACTGATCCCATTTGCCAGGCTGTAAGATTATTTAGGAAAACTGACTTTTCTAGACATTATTAAAACAACCACACAGAACATGGCAGTAGAAAAGCAGGAAAGCTGTGTGGAGGACGAGTTACTACCCAGAGTTAGGGCTAACCTGAAAGCTAAACATACAGAACATATAGAATATCACTCATATAGAAATGATAGTCCCAAGTGTTCCAGACCTGAAAAGCAAAATTTACAAACACACACCCACCCACCCACCCACACACACACACACACACAAAGTAAAATGTACTGAATATGTTTGTTGAGCTTAGTTTTAAACTGCGAGCTGAATATGAAATATATAAAGTTCTATGTATGAAATCTCTACTGTATATATTTATACCCTTCTGGGTTCTAGGCCCTGGTCCTCAGCAGTACCACTACCCCATCTGGTGAAATCCTAGTCATTTTAGAGCTCCAAGTGATCTCAGATCCCTCCAGTTAATAACTCAGCTGGTGTTTGTTACACAACCAAATAACTCCAGCATGCTGCTGGCTTCGCTGAGTCTTTTGAACTTTTAGTCAAAACTCTGCCACAGCATTTCTGTCATTTCTACTTAATTTAATGTGAGGTTTCTCATTTCCTGGCTCCAAGTTTATGGTAACCATCCAAACAGAATATTAGAACTATTTCGTGTGCTCTTCTTGCCAGGAAACTTTCAGTCATGGGATAAGGATTTCTTACTGACAAAGCCCAACTTATCATATTTATGTTTCACCATCCTCAATCACTGCTCCTGTCTAACATTATCAGGATCCACTCTGGCATGCGTTTATGATCTTTGATGATCATTAATTAGGCCCCGAGGTTGCTTTGGTGAGTAATCCCATTTTTTCCTTAACTGATCTATGCTTAGTTACAGAACCAAAAGTTAAATAGTGGAGCAATTGAGGTCAGGTATTAAAGAGAATAAATATCATCTTTAAAGTCTTCCACCTGCATTGAAGCTATAGCACAGCTGACAGGTCAGAGAAGGCTGCTCTTGCACCAAGAAAGAACAAGCTCCTCCTATAGGCCCAGGAGTTAAGAAGAGACCAGTGGACTCACTCACCTTCTTAAGCAAGCATACCCCTGATTCTCATTCAGTCTTAGTATCCCACTTCTTCCCTTCTAGAGTTCTATTCATTGAGCAATAAAGAACATTGACCTAGTGACATTAGGCTCTCATATACTTGTGTAAATTTTAGAATAAATCCCGCCATTTCGTTTTGAGTTCAATCTATCTTTTTTCTTTTTATACTATACATTTCTCTAAATGCTGTCTTAAAGTCTTCTTTTAAACCATCATCCAGTTGATTATTGACAAACTTCTCCATGTGCCAATTTCCTTCTCCTGCAAAACACCAACATTTAGCAACAACCAAGCATTTTTCAGAAAGGCTTGGGACATCGCAAGGCCACAATGACAGGCAATGGCGACTATCAACTAGACAGGAGACAAGCCTCTGCACATATCAGTGAGAGTTTTTGTAGATAGGTTGCATCAAAAAAAGAATGAAGAGCACCTAGAATCATTGTTCTCTGTTTCTTGGCTGCGAATGCAATGTGAACAGCCACCTTAAGTTCCTAACACCATGACATTACCACCATGTAAGCCAAAATAAACTCTCCATTCCTTGTTTCCTTCAAGTATTTTTAAAGGCAATTTGTCACAGCAGCAAGAGGGCACCATATCTCCTATAAATGGAATTACAGATAGTTGTAAGACACCTTGTGGCTTTGGAAACTAAAGCAGGGTCCTCTGCAAGAATAACAAAAAATTTTAACCACTGAGTCATCTCTCTAAACCATTGAAGAATATGTTTAAGGGTTAATTTTTCTCTAAAAGTGGAAATATATTGCTATCAAGCTGAAAATGATCTGATTTTATGTTCATTCCCTAAGGATTATGCTTCCTATAACCACTTGGAAATGATCCATTTCATATTTGTCTCATATCAGTTTTCTTAGCATTACATTAAAAGAACAATGAATATGATGTTATAAAGCACAAAAATGTCAATAATCACACTTATGGAGTCTAGAAGTTCCCAATCAAGTAGCTAATTGGATTTTCTTCCTCTGGGCTGTGAAGGTGAATTTGTCTCTTGTCTCACATCTTGATTACTTGTTGGCTGGCTTTTGCAATCCTCTGCATTTACATGCATCTAATTTTTGCCTTTATATCTGCATGGATTTCTCCGCTTTCTTGTGGTTCTGTGATGGCATGATGCCCCCTTTAGTAACTGTAAATTCTGTTTCCTTATCTGGATTCACAAGGAATTAATATGACAGTCATAAAAATACAAATTCATAGCCATGTTTGTGGATTGCCTGCTAGTGGAACAAACAGGTTGACCACATAATGGGGGATATCCTGTATGCTGTGAACATATGCTTCTCTTATTGGTTGATGACTAAAGTTGTTTTGGCCAATGGATAGGCAGGATGTATTCAGGCAAGTATAGGCAGGTCTATCAGACTAGGAGGATGCTGGGAAAGAGGAATGCAGGGAATGAGTCTCAAAGAGATGCCATGTAGCTGCATAAGCATCAGGAGATCCAGGCATCATTGATAAGAGAAGACAACATGGAAATACATAGGTTAATAGTTATGGGTTAATAATTAAGAGAGATAGCCCTAAAAGAAGCCCGAGCCATCAGACAAACAGTTCATAATTAATATAAATCTCCATGTGTTTATTTGGGACTAAGAGGCTACGGGACCAGGTGGGACAGAAACTTCCATCAACAGACAGGAATTCTTTTTCTCATTGAAAGGCTAATAATGCCATAGTATATATGATGTCTCACTGAAATGATATGTTGCCAAACAGTTTAGGGGTTAATGTTGATCTTAATCGGTACTTAGAACTCTGTACAACTGTATTTTAACAGAAATTATGACCTGACATATCTATTGTCTGCAAGAAAAATTTACCATTGATCTTTAATTCACAAATTATTATACTGACTATCTTAATCATATGCTATTGAAAACATCAATGATTTAAACTATATGAATAATAGTTTAAAAAATAAAACGTGAAGACAGGTCTGATGTTAGAAGACAAAATGAGAAATGAGATACAAAGACAATTTTTATTTTTCCAAATTATTCAGACTTGGTGTAAATATTTATGAATTCACGTGACTGGATTTTGGTTGTTGTTCTATAAGACATAAGAATGAAGATAAGAAAATAAAGTCATTGGCACTGTTGTTGTACGAGCTATCCTGGAACTTGCTCTGTAGACCAGGCTGGCCTCGAACTCACAGAGATCTGCCTGCCTCTGCCTCCCGAGTGCTGGGATTAAAGGTGTGCCCCACCAACACCCAGCATAAGCTGAGTTTTTAAATGTGATTTATATAAAAACATTTCTGTAAAAGGGTCAATGGCTTATTTATGTGCATGGAAGGCCTACTTGGAGGAAGTGCTCATATCCAGAGGATAGAAAATGCTTCACACACAATTCAATAGCCTTTAAGTTGCAGAGTAGTTATATACATAAAACTTATGTGGAATTTTTGTTCAATATGGAAAATTCTGATGCTACTATCACAAAGGTTCTACTCAGCCCCAATATTAGTTAACTTGTAACCCTATTAGAGAACAGAACCTCATTTGATTGTGTCAAAAACAGGTAACTCTCTTTACAAAAGAATACCCAGTGTTCTGAGCTTGGAACTGGATCTGAAGATGAAATATTAACTTACAGACCCCACCTACTTCATATGAACACGTGAAGGAAGTTGTGCATTAAATTACATATTCTTCCTTTGAAAGAAGAAACAATTTTTTCTGATTGTTTACATAATTGGACAATGAGACAATACAACAAACAAGGTTTGAGCCCATGAGTCAACATAAATTATAATGTCACCTCACTTAACTTATTTATATTTACATACGTACTATCTTCCTAGTTTGTTCTGACATATTGGCCTCATTGTTGCTCCTTGTCATAGTTTTACAGAGTGACTCTTGGTAATTAGTGGAGTCCAGTCACTGAGGATAGCAACTCAAGGTCTTACTCCTAGGCTCCATTTATCGAAATAGTCAATAGCTGCTGGGCCAATTAGTATATATGTACTGAACAACAGTTACTATTCCTACCTTCATTGTGGTGATGTCCTCATTGCTGAGACATTTATATGTAAACGATAGCTCAACAAAAATCTTAAAGTTATGATTCTTCTATTTGTTGTACAAACTTAGATTATTTAACCTACTAAACATCAGGATATTTTAACCTATAATGTAGAAGTGACATGGGATAGACACAAAATATGTATACATGAAAGACTATTATTATACATGAAGATACCTTTCCTTAAGATTCATATTATTCATTAAGAGGGTGTGATAAATAACAATTAGGACAGCGAGGCAATACACAGCATAGTTTCCTGTCTACAGGCAAAAATCAAACTCAGCATAAATTTTATTCATACATTTCAGTGTAAATTGCTTTGTACACATGACTAACTAGAATGTAATTAGAACACATATTATTCTTATTTATTTTGTTTAACTTCGTTGTTGTTGTTAGTGTTTTAAATTTGTTTTGTTGACACAGGTTTCACTCTGTAGCTCAGGTTGGCTTGGAACTCACTGCCTAGTCCATGCTGGCCCCACACTTCGCTCACCTCAGCCTGCCAAGTATTGAAAGAATGTCCCATTTTTCTGTTATAAGCCATAGGTCTAGTCTCTGTCCTTCCTGACATTCCTCATAAAGATGATAAAGTCCATTTACCACATCAAACCATTTTACTTAAGAATCCATCATTTGTATCAACTCCAAAAATTAGGAATTTTTTTTCTGTGTATATGTATACATGTGTATATGTGTTCGTGTGTGTTATTCATACGATCCATGCATAACATTAAGGTCGTGTATGTCTTCCTCAGTCACTCTCTACCTGACACTTTTGAGCAGGGTCTCCCACTAAACTTAGAGCTTGCTTACTTGGCAAGACTGGCTAGCCAGTGAGCTCCAGGAGTGTTCCCCTATCTGCCTTCTTGGCATAAGATGGTGTGAAGCTCCAGGACTTGGCATTCTTTCTTCCTAAGACAACTGTTGCCTCAGCCCTACTAATAGTGATTTCTTAAACTTAAACTATAACCTACATTTGTTTAAAAATCATTTGATTAGTTCACTTCATAAAATATTGCTTTTCAACAGAGAGGAAAAGGTTGAGGTTTCTATTGTTTATGAACTAGCTTTATCAGTTCTCTGAGAATCTCATGCATTGTATTTTGGACATATTCACAGCCTCCCAACTCCTCCCATACCCATGTATCCACCCTCCCATCCCATTCTATTTAACTTTGAGGTTTCTTTCTTTCTTCTTCCTTCCTTCCTTTATTTCTTTCTATCTATCTGTCTTTCCTTTTTTGTCAGTTTGTTTCATTCTCATGGAGAACTGTTCCTGATGCTGAGATACCCTTGGGAGGAGAGACTTCGCTGGTGCGTGGATGAATTACCAGTGACTACATTGTTAAAGAAAATTGAATTTCCTTTGCCCAGGAGCTGATAAAAGCAATATCTCCACATCTAGTGGTGAGATTTCAGGCCCACTTTCTCCTGAATGCTGGCATTTGTCTGGATGAAATTTGCACAGATCTTGTACAAATTTTCACAGCATCTGTAAATTCATATGAGCAACTGCCCTGTTGTGTGTGTAAAACTGTTTCCTTTATGTTATTGACTGACAATCTCTGGCTTTTAGAACCTTTCCACCCACTTGAATACCCACGATGGATATGATATATCACATCCAGGGCTGACAACTTAACAGTCTTTAATTCTCTATACATTGACCATTTTGGCAAGGTCTCTCTGTTAGTTTTCATCTACTGAAGAAGAAGAAGCATCTCTGATGGGGGCTGAGAAACTCTCTCATCTATCAGTATAACAATAGGTCATCAGGACTCACTTTAATACTATGCCCCTTTAGAAAATTTATTAATCAGTTCATAAATAGTTTCTTTTCCCCCTCTGTGTTTTTTCCAAAAATTATTTTTTTACAGATAGGACAATAATTGTTGTAACTTCTCATCAGAACTTTTTGTACTTAGTAAATGATAAATAAATGCTAAGCTCTATGATTAGCAAGACCCCTATTGTGTAAGTTGGTTTCCTGTTGTTGTGGTAAAAATACCATGACCAGAGGCATCTTTATTTTAATTTATACATAGTCTTCTGTATGGTGAAATTTGGTACTCTGCCATTAGCCATGTGGCATATTAGAGACACATACAGATGAGGTAATAAAAGAGCGTTTTACCATACCGCTAATCACACCCACTTTAGGCGTGACTAAAGACATATATGGACATAGGTGGTGAACTACATCCCTAGCCATGCCCACCACTTTTGGCCATGGCTAGGGGCGTGTACGGAGAAAAGAATAAAAGACTGAACAGCAGAACGTCTCACCCTCTTTTCTGGCTTCCAGTTCCGAGGCAGAAAAATACTCGGCTCATCTGGGTTGCTTGTTTTTCTCTTTTGAGTAGTTTCTACAATAAATACTTACTAATACTTTCAATAAGTGTGCCTTTTATCATTGCAGCATCAGTCTTCCAAAGCTTTATTGCATTTTTAAATTTCTTTGAAATTAAAATATATTTACATTATCGTCTCACTTTCCCTTCCTCTTTCCAACTCTTCCAATGCACTTCCAACCCCTTGCTCTCATTCAAATTTATGATTTCTGGCCTCTTTTTAAAATTGTTTTAGATAAATACAGATATAGATATAGGTATAATCTATTATAATGTTACTTACATGATTTCAGAGCTGATCACCTGGTTTTGAACAACCAACTAGAGGGATCCTCCCTGGGAAACATTCTCAGCATTCCTTAGTTGCTGGCAGTTCTTTGTCTACGGTTAGGGCCTGTACCACAAGTAATAAAAAACGTAGAGACAGATTTGGTGTTCAAGCTGATGATCAGAGAGGCAAAGCAAACAAGATGTTAGAGCTTCCACTTTTACCAATGCTCAGACCAAAGGGGTGATCCACTGAACCTCAGGTTGCATCTCCAGAGTGCTCCTCACCAAATCAAGCTATTTCCTGAGATTGCACTGAGTTCCTTATTTTCTCTCTAGTGCTGTAATCAAAGGCATGAGCTCTGTTTCTCTTTTAGACACCAGAGGTATCTTAAGAAAAAAATATTTTTCCTTAAAGTTCCAGAGGAAGAATTCATAATGGTAGCCGAAGTATGACAGTGCAGACAGAAAGCTGAAAGTTATCACGGCAAAAAGCAGACAGGAAGCAGAGAGAGAACTGGTAGTGGGGAGAACTTTATGTTCTCAGAGACCACCACAGTGATATTTTCCCCATTATGGTCCTGTGTCCTAAGGATTCCTTAACCTCCCCAAAGAGCACCACGTACTACAAGGCAAACTTTTCAAATACAAGAGTCTGTGAGGAACATTTCTTATTCAAAACACCCAGACTATATAATCTCTAAATTGTGCTTAACGTAGATTGAGATCTTACCATTTTAACCCTTTCAGACTTTTAATAACCTATCCATCTTCCCTTCATTAATGCAACGCTTCTTCTCTTAAGAATCATGTCACCAAATTTAATATCCTAAATGAGTTGCTCTGGTACATTTATAGTGTTGATCTAAACCTTTAGTACACACTTCAAGTATTCAAGACCCACAATGCCTGCATCTATATGTTTCCTCTTTTTAATTTTAGTTCATCCTCTTACACTTCTTTATAAGCCCTATATCCAAATTTAAAGTTTGTGTTCCATTGTTTTAAATATCTATACTCCTCTCCTACACATAACTCCTTATAATTCTTTCAACTAAGAAGACTTCCACCTTTTGTCTCCATGGTGATCCTGAAAATAGTCCTTACCACTTCTAACTTATGGTTTCATTATTATTTAGGTATCTGCTTTGTCCCTCTATGTAGTATTTGGGATCTTCAGGAAAGAATCTATATCCAGTTCCATACTTTCATTTTTAAAGCATTCACAGCTGAATAATCAGTTGTTGACCTATGAATGGATTGATATCTAAAATCCTTTAGGACAGAAAAACAATAAGGATAAATATCTAATATATTAGTACTTTATGAGAAGACTGTCTTATCAGAGATGTGCTGGCTTAATTGTGATATGATTCCTGGGGAACAAAGGCAACTAATGCCACCTCCAAATGTCTTAAGATTCCAGTTGTCCACCTGCGGGAAAGGCTGAGGACTGTTGTTACTCTTACTCATCCTGATAATAGCCTCAAATAATGTGAACTTGTTAAAAAAGCTATCTTACATATTAACAAGATTTTATAGAATTCCCCAAAAGGAGGGTACAGAAAAATTAAGCCATGATGAAATCCATTGGAAACAAGACCATGGCAGACCTACTACTGTGCTGGTAGTATTTCACAACCTGTTTTCTGGGCAAAGAAAGTCCTTGGTTATGTTTTCCATCATTTAAAATTCCATGTTATCAGCAATTGCTGAACATGGAATTGGAAAATATGCACACCTGGGCTGTGACAAAGCTATTAGGAAGCCACTCAGTCACATTACTAACAATAGACACCATTCTTCATTGCATGGAAAAACGGCATGCAAAGTTTTAGACACTCTTTAAGTGACACTACACTCCTCTTGGAATTAGTTTCTCCCATACAAATGGGGTATCGAAAATTCTTTTACCAATTGTCTGAGAACAGTCAGATCTAGATATGTGGGCAGCATGAAAATATCATAATAATAAGCATTCTTAATTCTTCAGTGATGGCCCTCTGTGTGGAGCAAAGTGGAAGGGATGGAGCAACACTTTATCTAACACAGGTCAAGAGAACCTTACTAATTTGCTCTCCTACTTTGCAACTACCAAGGTTTCTCCTGTTTTGTCTTTTCTCACGTAGTCTACTTTAGTGAGTAATAGTTAACCTCCATACATTTTTACCCTGTTCTTTGTTTTGGGAATTGATAAAATTGAATTGCTGCGTTGATTATTTCCAGCGTCTAGAATTTATTTTTGAATTTGCTTGAAGGTAGACAGGAGAATGTGAATATTTATTTTTGGTTGTCTATTCTTAGAGCTTCTTTCTCTTTTGTTTCTGATAACTGTTGCTATCAACTGTCTCTCTGGCCTATTTGCTCTTGTTATTCTTAAGAAATAGTATAGTGGCTCATTGCTTTTCCAAAGCTCTACCTTATAACCTTCTACATAAAATCATCTTCAAACCTCAGAAATTGTTCAATTTTGATTGAGTCATATTTTTATTATGCTAGGGATATAGTTCATACGCTAATTAATATAAGTCATAGTCATTCCTATTTTGTATATTTATGAGTCATATTGTTTCGGCTATAGAAATTATAATAGTTCTTTTTACAGATAGCTGTATATATGTTTGATTTTAATTATGAAGCACTTATTCCACCAGATATTTTTAAAATTAAGTCAGAGTTTAATATTTTTGATAATTCTCATTGATATAAATGGGCATTTGGCTATTTATGTTAATACTATGTTGGCTATTATTTTGCCAAGTTGACATAGGCTCAGACTTTTGGGAAGAGGGAACCTCAACTGAGGACATCACCACAAGTTGGCCTGTGGGAAAACCTGTGGGGTATTTTCTCAATTCATGATTTAAATGGGAAAGGCCGGATAACTGAAAGCAATAACATCCCTGGACAAGAGGTCCTGGGTTGTATGAAAAAGTAGATGGAGCAAGACATGGAGAGGAAGTCAGTAAGTACCATTCCACTGTTAACTATTTCAACTCGCCTCGAGTAATTGCCCTGACTTCCATGGATTATGGACTACAAACTGTACAATTAAATAAACTGTTTTCTCTCCTGCTTGTTTTTAGTCATGGTGTTTGTAACACCAAAAGAAACACAAATAAGGCTGAAGGATAATGAAAGAATATTAAATATATTTAAATTTGTAATGTAGATTATATTTTAGTTTGATACATATTGGTATAATAGAGAACCAGCAATTTATCACAGTAGTAACTATGAAGAGACCAATTACAATAAATGAGTTCCACTCACCAATGTATTTCTGGGTTTTTAAAAATAAGGTAAAAATCTGGTGATGTAATTTTCATTTAACATAGGGAGGTGATATAAAAATTTACTCTGATGTTGCCAGTCTTGAGAAATACATTACTAGGTTAAGATGTTTCCAGAGGGGGAAATGAAGCCCTAATCATTTGTTTCCAGACTCCAAGCACGGAGTAATTCAAATCAGGACTTAAGTAGACTGTCTAACTCTATCACCTGAGGCCAACTTGGGTTAGTCATCAACCTAAGGTGCTGTTTACAGTGTGTGCTGGAAAGGCTGTCTTCTCCCCAACCAGCTGGTAGACCAGGAGTGAAGGCACATGACTGATGCCTGTGGGAAGGAAGCATTACATCATTTTATGACGTCCAAATGACTACAAATGTGTAAAACCTATGCATTATGACGAAAGTAGGATAGTATGAGACTAAAGTTCCTTTTCCTTGTGATATCATTTCTATTTTTCATTAGCTTGGACATAACTTTATAATTGTAACTCTGTTATACATGATTTAAACATGTGAGTCAATAGATGAAAAGACCTAAGGTATTATACTAACATTTAATTCCAGTAGAATGCTTTAAATTTTAAAACACTTTGATCATTCATTTAATTAAATACAAATATTCAAAAAGGGGTACAAATTAATGAATCGTTTTCATTTTAGATATAAAAATATAATTCTATTTATAGGATCTTGGAGTCTTGAGGAAATACTATGACTGTCACAGGAAGCTGAGGATTACCTTAAATGGCTTGACAGTAGAGCCATGGCACAGGAAGTATGCCCTGGATGCTCTGCTGCTGGGAATTGGCCCTCAGAGACAAATTCATCCACCCTGATGAGTAATGGCATTAAAAACAATGAAGACTGTGGACTGGGTAAGCCATGACTAAATGCTGAATGGGATGAAACTCAAACAGTACATGCAAATACCAGCAACTAATGTTAACTTTTATAATGTTCTATATACTTTTAGTACAGTTTCAATATCATTGTTTCTGGTAGTATTCATTTGTTTACTTTCATAAGAATTTTCCTTCATGGATTTACAACGCAATTCTAGAGAAATTAACACTATATTTTGATACTAATCTGCTATTATTAGTTCTGATAGTATATAATTTCACCATTAGTTATTTTACTAGGCTGCTAAAGTGATATTTTCTTGCTTCTCTTCAATAATCAAAACTTTATTTAAATAAATCTAAATACTATAGAACACTGACCCCAACAACCAAGACAAAGTTAAAGAATATACCCAGAGTGAAATTTTTGAAAAGCAGTTATAACAACTTTGAGGAAATGATACAAATAGTAGACTATGAAGAAAAATTGCATTCCAGACAGATGATCTTTTCAGAAGAAATTTTCATGTTATATATTCCAAGTACCAGCAAGGTTGTAAAACTGTTTTAATGTTTACATGTATGTTCTGTAATATTAAATTACTTAGGGAAACAAATATATCTTTGTCAGTATGTTTTCTACACAGGATCTGGGAATGTGAGGTCAGGGAAATTGTGACTATGCATGTGCAATTTTGCTTTGAGTTTTGAGTCCTTGGGTTTCAGTCAGGATATATGAAGTCAGATTTATGACTCAGGAAGTCACTTTTTCCCTCTCATGAGTCAAAGAAAATGGGGAGTAGGCTAGAGCTAAGCACAGATTAACAGAAAGAGAAATCCTGAGCCATCAAATACTCTCCTTTAAAACCTGGATCAGGAAACAAAGTGACTAAGTATTATTTGAAATCTATAGTAGTCTTTAGTCTATTCCAAACTAAGGACTTCAATACCCAAAACAACATACATAGTTAAGGTGTCACTTAAGAATATGGAA